GGTCCTGATGGATTGACTTCTGAATTCTATAAGAAATTTAAACAAGATTTAATGCAAATACTTCTCCAGCTCTTTAATGAAAGTGAAAGGGAAGCAATACTCCCTAACTTATTCCTGAAATATTATCTTGGTACCAAAACCAGAAAAAGATCAATCAGTAAAGAGAATTACAGGTCAGTCTCTCTCAGGAACATAGATGCAAAAATCCTCCAAAAAAATACTAGCAAACAAAATGCAGCAAGTCATTAATAAGATTATACATCATGACCAAGTAGGATTCATCCCCGGAATGCAGGGTTAGTTCAACATACGCAAATCAATAAATGTAATACACCATATCAAGAGAGCCAAAAACAAAAATCAGAGGATCTCACTAGATACAGAAAAAGCTTTTGACAAAGTTTAACACTTGTTAATGATAGAAACCCTACAGAAAATCAAAATAGACTGTCTTTATCTCAATCTGATAAGTCATCTATGACAAACCAATTGCCAACATCATACTAAAAGGTTAAAAACAATGTTTTCATTCTAAAATCAAGCACAAATCAAGGATGTCCACTATTGCCAAGCCTGTTCAATATAGTTCTGAAAATATTAGCCAGAGAAATTCAATAAGAGAGATAAAATAAAAGGAATGAAGATAAGAAAGAAAGAAGCTAAATTATTTTTATTTGAAGATGACATGAGTCTATATAGAAAAACTCCACCTTAACTCCCCAAAAACTCCACCAAAAGACCAAATTCAATAGTGTAGCAATATACAAAGTCAGCATTCAAAATCAATAGCATTACTGTACACAAACAACAAACTCACTGAGAGAGAAGTTGGGGAAACCACAACCTTCACAATAGCGTTCAAAAAATGAAATAAGCAGGAATCAATCTAATACAGGAAATAAAAATATCTACATGTTCAAAATTATAGTATTCTGAAAAAGGAGATTGAAGAGGATATCAGAAAATGGAAAGATATCCCTTGCTCATGGAAAGGAAGAACCAACAGAATTGCACTAAACCATATAAAATGTACATTTTCAGACACATATAAAATATTTATAATAAGTAAACTTGTATAACACTAGAAAGTAAAATGCAACAAAATCTTTAAATAATGATATTCTACTCATCATATCCTCTTACCCATTGTATTTAGAGTTCTGTAGGATACTGTGGGCGCTTGTTAAAATACAAGTTACTATGATGCATCTGCTAAGATTTTAATCCTATAGATCTCAGAGGCCTAGAATTGGTGCTGTTAGCAAGTTCCCTGATGTATTATTCCCTAGGAAACTGGATGGCTTAAACAGCAAAAACAGAAAACAACAGAAATATAATCTTTCACAGTAGCAGCAAATCTATGAAATTCTTCTCCCTTAGCTTCTGGAGGTAAGGACAGACCTAACACTTCTTGAGTTTTAGAAATCTTTCCATTTCTGCCTCTGTCATCATATGGCAGTGTCTGTGTGTATCCATGTTTTCTTCTCTTGTTATAAAGTGATAAATTATGCCTGATTAGCAGTTATCCTAGGCATTACTTTACTTTGATTGTATCTATAAAGATCCGATGTCCAATAAAAGTTGACTCATAGATACTTGGGGTTAGGACTTCAATATATCATTTTTGGAAAACATAGTTTAATTCATACTAACAAGTAATCCTGGTGTTAGTGATTCTAGAATCATGCATTAAGGATCACTATTCTGAACAAAATGAAATTAAACATGGGAAACAAATTCCAATGCACTGTTACATAGAAAGGTGATTATAATTAATAATTTTGTATCATGTACTTCAAAATACCTAGAACAGGAACAAAGAAATGACATGTGTTTGATATAATGAATGAGGTAAAATATCCTGATTTCATCATTACACAATATATACACATATTGAAACATCATACTGCATCTACAAACATATAGTTACTATCAAAGAGTAAGTGAGATGTCAATAATTTGAAACTTTCTTCTTAAAACAATGTCTATGTACTGGAAACTGAAATATATTCTTCCAAATAAGAAATCATAATGTATGAAAATAAGAAAAATATTTATAATTGAATAACACATAGTATCATATGTATGTATAAATTGATAGGACAGACTACTAAAAGTGTTATGTCATACTTATTTTGCTTGCTGCTGCAATAAAATACCCAAAATCCAAAGTTAAAGAAGGAAAGATTTAGTGTAGCTCACAGTCTGTAGGGGTTTCAGTTCATAGTTGGCTGGTTCCAAGACAGGGTGGCACAGTAGAAGGACATCACAGATGACAGCAAGGCAGTGAATGATAAGTGCTGATCCTCTTTCTGTCCCTTATATCTTATTTAGGCTATGAATAAGGTTGGGGCAGCCTTAATGCTAGCATTGCACTGTGAGTCAATCACAGCCTTGTTCCCAGCAGTCACTTCTAAAAAACCCACCTGCAATTGCATGAGGCGTTGGGAGGACATCTATACACAAGTCGTAACAGGGTATTCATAATCTTAGGGCTTATACTGGAAAAGAAAATGATCAAAATTAATGGACAATGAATTAGAAGATAGAAGTAGAAAGTGGAAAATAAAAAAAATAAGAAAGATCAAGCCAATTTCGATGACAAACACCTGTAATTCCAGTATTAAAGGAGGCTGAGGCAAGAGGATCACCTGCCTGTACAAAAATATAAATAAATAAACAAACACATTGTGGGTATAGCTCAGTGGTACAGCACTTCTGGATTTGATCCTCAGTACTGAAAAGTTAAAAAAAATAAAGGAGAGGTGGGTATTTGGAAATAATAGAAAGAAAATCTGATAACATTTGTCAAGTAAAGAAAAGGACAGAAGGAAATGAAAGTAAAAAGAAGGGAAGGGAAGGGAAGGGAAGGGAGGAGAGGGGAGGGGAGTGGAGGGGAGGGGAGGGACACAGAGGAGAAACTGTTCAAAACAAAAGAGAAACTATAATGGGGGAAATAGGCAAGGAAGGGAGGGAAAAGGAAAAAAATACATATGTACATATGCTTAGGAGAAAATACTTTTAGCCTTGGGTCAGGAAGATTTATTAGGCACAAAAAACAAAAACATAATCCATAAAAGATAAGGTAACTGAAGTTCATTAAAATTAAGAACGTCTACACTTTGTAATACAGTGTTAAAAGAACAAAGAGGAAAGGACAAACTGGAAAGAAAAAACCAGCAAAACGTGTATGTCTAGTAAAGTTTTAAATTCAGAGTAAAATAACTCAGACATCGCAGCCAAAGAAGTGACCCAGTTTTTTTCACTGAACAAGAAAGTTGATCAGAGAGTTCACCAGAGAAGATATGGATGTCAAATAATCACTATAATAAGATACTCAATATCATCAGTTATTAGGGAAATAGAAATTAAAGCCACTTAAGAGAAATGTATACGTCAATACAACATGTATGGAAAAATGTATAGAAGATTTATTCATGATCACTGCAAATATTCCTCAAATCATGAACAGATAAAGTACTGCACACACAATGGAATATTACTTAGCAATAAAGAAAATTACTGACAGAAAACAGCAAAATGAACCTCATATAGGCTATGCTGCAGGAAAGAAGACAGACGTAAAAGAATTCTTATATGTGATTGCAGAATGATAACGATTTTTTGACAATGACAAAAGACAACACTTGAGGAAAAGTATATAACATACATCTGATATGTATATAAATATATATATGCATAATCTCTCTCACACACACACACAAACACACACGCACGCACACATATATAATCAGCATTTGCCAGAGACTCGGAACAGTCAGCTGAGTTGACTGCAATGTCATATGGAGTTACTTTACCAGGTGATAGTAATACTGCAAATCTTGAGTGCATGCTAATTACAATAATAACTCAGAATTGTTAACTATGTCAAGAATCTTTAAAGAAACGCAGAGGTTTGGTAGCAGCCTGGAGAACCATGCTTTAGCTTTAAAGGTGAAAAGAAGAAGGCAGGAAGAATATCACTACCAGAGGGGAATTTCAAAGCCTATTTATCACACAAGAGATGCTGCACGCGTGTCACCTCAGCTGACCCTCACACCTTGGCTTGGAATGTGCTTTCCCGAGTTTTGCAAAGAATAGGAAAGAAAAGGATGAAATTGAATCAGACGAGTTTGTTTCCTTTTTCCCAGGAATGGAATTTAGTAATCATCTCGAGTGTACTTGGTAAAAGATGACCATAATCGATGTCACTACAGAGTAATAAAACCATGACTAGACTATTTTTATAAATCAAAAACAGATGAAAGTAAACTATGATGTTAGGAACTGAAATACCTTTTACTGTCTGGAGATCAGAAATAGCCATTAGAAGGGACATGTGGGAATGCTGCTTTCTGTGGCCACTCTGGCGGATTCACTTTGTGGAAATTCACAGACACACGGCTTACTCACTTTTCTGTATGTATGTCGCATTTCAATAAAAGTGAAACACAGATAATTCACTAAACAGGGAGGGAATGTCTGCTGTACACCCGGGTGTGGGTGACGGCCTACTTTCCAGGCCGTGCAAAGGAGTGCCTGGAAGTTCTTTTCAAAACCTTAATATATAAATAGGATTTATAAAGTCCTAGCTATATGCATTTTATGATAAAAAGAAGTTTAAATACTTTTTAAAAGTAAATGCACATATGAAGCTTTATAAAATGTATTTATATCTGTATGTGCAGGCAAGCATCAGTGAACCGACATGGTCATTTTTTTATTAACTTACATTAAACAGACTGCAAAGATAGATATACACTAAAATCTTTTAGTGCATCGTTTTCGGACATAGGCAATTTTTGGTACACCTTTAGGACATAGGCAGTATTTGGTACACTTTTGTATTTTCAAAAATATTATTAACGATCCTATTGTTTTTAGAATATGAAAGGAAAAACCTAAACAAAGCTGACACACTGAATCCAAGGCAGAGAAAATGCCAGGGTGAGGCCACCGGTGTGTGCCCTGGGGGGGGGGGGGGCGTGGAACAGCCAGGACCGAGGTTCCAGGGTCCGTCCAGCTCCGCTGGAGCTCTGGTCTTGGACCTGCGACGGTTGGAGCGGAACCTGGTGGATGCCGGAGCTGGGAGGAGGCCTGAGCCGGGGTGAGTCCCGCTGGCTGGTGCAGGCAGGGAGAGGTCAGCTCCGCCCAGCTGGCCGGCTGGCTGGGCAGGAAGGAGGTGACCTGAGGACGGGGAACACTATGCCTGCTTTCCCACAGAACCCTGAAATGCAGGCAAGACAGCGTTTCCTGTAGGCGGTTAGAAGACCAGAGTGACTGTGACTTGGACACAACTTGTCCCAGCCCCTTCCCTTGAGAAAGGAAAGGCCTTGACCCCACTCCACTTCCCAGTAGTGGAATTTTCGTTACCGTTTTTCTGCGTCCTGGCCTGCGCGCCCTGAAGGAGGCATCATTTGGGGACAGTTGCTATGGTCAGAGAGAGCCGATGGTGTCAGGGTGCCAGTATTATTCTCACTGTAACCCTTAGTTTTGCTCGGGATTGAAGACCTTGAGCGCCACCAAGTAGAATTCCAGGGAGACAGTCAATGTGAGGCTTCCCTTTCTCAGACACAGGCCAGATTATGTTCCTTGCATCCTAGCATCAGACACAAAATTTGTGCTCTGAAACGTTCGATGTATGAGCCAGTCACTAAATGAATAAATGAACGTTTTTCACAAGGAGCCCATGGTTAGAAAGGAGTTCAATACTAGCTATGAAAACTAGCTGACAAGCTTTATTCAATAAAATTCATTTTTTTGTTTGTTTGAGAGAGGGTTTTGCTCTCTAGTTCAGGCTGGGCTTAGCAGCATGCACTACCATGCTATTCTCATCCCATTTTCTTTACCCATAAAAGGGTCCAAGGAAGTGTTTGCCATTTTAGCCACCCATTAGTTTGAAATGAATATATGAAAATTTACTTAGAGTTGGTGTTTTGTTTAATTTCTTATGTGAAATTTAATGTACTAACAGAATGATACACACTAAAAGATTCAGGATCTTTCTCATTGCACCAGTGATACCCGAAAGCATGAGGGTGCTCTCATTTCAGTGTGATTCCAGGCTGAATAGACTGCTTTCTTCTAGTTTAAAAAAAAAAAAAGAATTAAGGATTTTTTTCCTTTAGCTGCGACACAACTTGGAAACTTTTCATAAAAGGATGAGTAAATAAAATCAGAAAAGAATGCAGTGGAAACAAGTTGGAACAGAACACTTCCAACTGGGTAAACTGCACAGCGGGTACTTCACCGTCCTCCGTTTAATCTATGAATAAGGAATGGAATACTTGTGCTAATAGGGGAGGGAAAGGGGCGCAGCGGGAGGGAGGCTTTGTGCAGCATCTCAGCAAGATTTAAAATCATTTTAAACTCCTTCTGCGAGCGCATAGGGCCAACCTAAATTGGTGAGTTGTCATCATGTGTAATAAAGTACATAATCAAGATAGAACCGACATTTTTTGTATTCCCCAGGTGGATTTTTCACTGAAGTAGCTCTTCAACATCGTTCAATCTGTTACTTATCTGTGTTGTTATAACCAAATGACTAAAAATCCCCATCTGGTCATTTTCAAAGATATCCTAAAGAGAAATAATTTTAAAAGCTATTCAGGAAAAATTTCTTCTTCTTTTTTTCCCCCTTTGTCACAGTTAAGAATGGAGAGAACCTGCTTATAAGTTGTTCATTTTCTGGGCAATGAAACTAGCCCCTTTAGAAATTGACTATATCTTAAAGAAAACAACAAATGAGCATGACTCATGAGATACGGGACCTTAAAATGATCTTCAGGCAGACACCCAAGTTCATTGCTTACTGCAAGATGATTTTTTGCTAATTAAGCAGCACAATGACTAAAGGCAGATCATTTTACACAGAATTTGACTGCAAGTTGTTTCATGTTTTTTTTAATGTGACACATCAGTTTAAAACAGATGATTAGGTACCCCAACAATGGTGGTAGGCCAGGGTAACAAAAGTGAAGCAAACACCATATGCTCAAGGGTTTTGAAAATCCTTTTACATCAAGAAGCCTAGAATATTGTCTCTCAACTAGTGTAGAATATATTGAGTCATCCTCTTGGAAAGTAACAATCCAGTTGTAACAGTTTGCACCCATAAACAGTCTTGCTGAATTTTTTCAAGAATGTTATAAAATAAAACATCACAGCAGTCTGGCCTAAAGATGACCAAAATAGAGACTGTAACCTCAAAACTTAGTCTAAATTTCAAAATATACATGATGAGTGAGGATGAACCATCTGTTCACTAGACAGGCTATTTCCTAACTGTCTAATTTTTTAAAATTTCTGAGTGATAATAATAAAAATGACAGTAATGATAGCATAATTGTTTCTGTTTGTTGAACATTTATTATTCTGCAGCAATCTCCCTCTGCTATTCTTCTCAACAACATGAGGAAGATATTAGCCCCATTTTGCAAATGAAGAAACAGAAGCCAATGGGAGTGACTAATATCAGCATCACTCCAAATTCCCTAAGTGATGAGGGAATAGTTATAAAAATGACCTGGGAGGAAAAATTCATTCTTGCTTCTACATTTTAGAAAATTTCCAGGAGTAAACTTACTTGCCTATAATAATGTGATAATTTGTACCTATGTACATCTATTATAAAGTGTTTAGGATTCATGTATTTGAGCCGCTGATGTTTCAAAATTTGTGCAACTTCAAAAGGTAATTGAGCTGATTTGACAGAGAAGTGTCAGACTGTGTCTGTAGTTAACCTTAATGAGCAGAACCTGAAGCTAAAGTCATACTGTAATCTAGGATTGCATGACAAATGAAAAATAGATGTGGTTTTTTAGTAGGCCATTTAAAAAAGAAATATTTTGGGTAGAGTACTGTTATAATTACAGAATAGAAATCAGAGTTCCTGATGTCAATTCCAGTTCATAGGTGAATTAATTGTCCTGTTTTGCTATCTGTCTTAGATTTACTTAAATAAGTTGTACATATGCCTTTCAAGTGTGTCAGTTTACACAATCTAAATGTAAAAGGATTAAATTTCTTTCTACAGAAAGAAATTGTATATATACTCTGTTAGAGCTGATTTTTTTAAGCATTTGAAAATATTGGTCTTGCTTTTCTTTGAGTACCTGTAACTTAACTTATTACTTGTGAGGATGGTAGTGCCACGCATTCATTTAAAAGTCACTGGCACTCCATTTGGGTCTGTGATTCTCCACTAGAATAACTCTCCTCAGGAAACTCCACACTGTGAGTGTTCATTGGATTTCACATGCATGGATGCTTCAGTGCTCTCTCCCCAGCTCTCACTTAAATTCCTATTAGCCAGCGTAACTCGAGCAGAAGAATTCAACACTGTCATTAAAGATCGCCCAAGTTACAGCCTGAGAAGATACTGCACTTTCACCTCCTTTCCCCCAAAATGCATGCATTTAACTTGTTAGAAATAGTTCAGTTTTGTTAAGTGGAGGATGGAAGGAAAAAAACTCTGTGGCTTAATCACCATTGCACATCCTTCTTGAACAGAGACTCAAGAGACCTAAGTTTGAACTGAGGGAAAAACAAGGATTGCAATAGTCCTGTGACTTCCACATCATCTCAGCCTATGATCCCAAATCTAAAAAAACTTATCTCTAGGGAAATGAGAGCTTGTGCTTGTGTGCTTGTGTGTGAAAGCATTTGTGTATGACCCTCCTCAAGAGGGAAATTACTAGAGGAATACACACATAGTTATGTAAAGATCCTTAGGTATAGGGCGCAAGGGTTAATTACAAGCCCTCAAAAGTTCAGCACTCTCAATTATTTGATCTTTTATCTTCACAAACATAATGTTTGCTTGCTTGTTTGTTTGTTTGTTTGAAACAAGGTCTCTCTAAGTAGTCCAGGCTGGCTTTGAACTCACTACGTAGCCCAGGTGGCCTTCAACTCACAAGCAATCCTCCTTCCGCAGTCTCTAGTTGCTGGAATTATTCATTAATATGTTTAACAGTGAAGGGAACATTATTTTAAACACTAAGGTCACTATCATATTGAGGAGAAAAAATGAATACACCTTAAAATCGACATTTGTAATTTAAATATTTCAACTCACCAGACTTAAGATGCATTTAAGATTGTTTCTGAATGGATCAATTTCATGAAAGTTAAAAATGAAATTATGCAGTTCATAGCTTTTCTTCTGGCTGGTGCCATTTCTTTTCTCTTTTCCTCCCATAGACTCTGTCTTCCATGAACTTTCATATTACCCTTTGGTTGCCACAGGATTTCTTCATCCAGTACCTATACTAAACTGGTCACCTGACTTTCTTTTTCTCTTTTTTTTATTTTAAAGAGAATAGAACAGAACAAAGCAGATCAGAACAAAACAATGCAAGCAACACAGGATTTCAAAACAAGATAACAGGAAATCAATAGTGGCTACCATAATGTCCTTGTTTTCTTCAAAATAGTTGTCCATATCTTCACACACAGTGAATTGAAGCAAAACAAAATAGTATAAAACCTATCAAAGTAAAAGAATAAAAGCATTACAGGCCTTTAAAACCAGACAATAGGAAAATCAACAATGGCTACCATATTGTCTCTTGTTCTCTTCAAAAAAGCTGTCCATATCTTCACATATATTGAAATCAAACAATAAAAAAAGTAAAACCAATCAAAACAAAGAATAAAAGCATTACTGGGTTTCAAAACAAATTGATAGAAAATCAGCAATGGCTATCATAATGTCTTGTTTTCTTCAAAGTAGCTGTTCATACCATCACATTTTTAATAAAATCAATTCTTGTAAATTCTTTAGGAGAAGTTCTAGGTATGTATAAACCTATACATGTATATCCATTCTTTCTGTTTTAGAGGGAAAAACAAAACAAAACATAAGAAAAACAAGGAACAAAAGAGACAAATAAGAATAACCAAGAGCCCAAAACAATAACTATCAGGGCCTGACCTAGATCCCCAATCTCCCAAGTGAGTGTATAGCAAAGGTTTACATAAACGAGACAGATGGTACGATTTATGGCTCTAGGAGGATCAAAACCCTTCTGCCGAGTTCAAGACTCCAAGGGCTAAGACAAAGACTTCTCTGGACCATCCATATTTATTAGGTCTAAACAAAGAGCA